GTATTTATATGTAAAATAAAACTTTGTTAAAATGGCCCTTATTATGTAATTCGTTTGCCCCCTAAGTCCCAAACATATATCTTTAACCGGTAAATATATTTAAAAACATATTCTGAACAGCTTTATTTATTAATGATAATCAATATAATAATACCTACAATTAAACAGGATAAGGCCATGGGCCATAACAAAGCTATTATTACTGTATTAGTATTTATTTATAGATATTTTAAAGCCTATATAAAATAATGAATAAATTAATAACTTACAGTTTGAGAAATACTATCAAATATGGGACATTGATTTGATCGCACTTGATTATCTCCTTGATGCCATATAGTCCGCAATTGTTTTCATTTAAATTATTATAAGGGTGTTTACAATCATTGACACCAATAAGCGATACAAAAAAATATATCCAAATAAAAATGAATGCCATAATATTTATACTGTATATCAAATTTGGATAATGTTATATAATGTAATTTTGAACACAACTTCGTTAACAAGTAAATAATATTTTAATTGATATTCAATGAATGCAATTTAATTCAGTTAACGATTTACTCTAATGTACAGAAACAATATATAAAGACAATGCAAAACAGTGATATGATGTGTAAAACAAATTAATTGTAAAAATTAGACTTTTATTTAACACGAGTTTTGTTACGAATGTCGTAAATTGTATTTATGAATATTCTTATTTATTTTAATTTACTATTAATTGTTATTAGATTTAATATTTTAGTATAAAAGTATCATGTGTATTATACAGCAGTATATTTATACAGTAGTAGTATTCATATACCTATTTGTTGCACTCATTCGCACTCATTACGTATTCACAGTATACCTGTAAAATGATCATGTTACATTTAACAATTATTGTAAAACTTGTATAAAACTAGATGAATGATAAACTGATGGGAAGAATGAGTTTTGGATAGCATAGAGATAGTTGGTTAGTGATTAGAGTTAGCACTCTTTGGCAAACATGAAACTTTTATACATTTTAGTTTATAATTAGTTTTAAGTTAATTAAATGTTCACTATTTGTAATGTCTAGTATGCATACAATGTTGTCTATATTATTCATTGAGATTTCTAATAAATTTATGTTTTTTATATAAAATTAAATGACTTTTTATTTAAATCTATTATTAATCTGTATTTTAAGTTATATTTTACAGATTATCCGACCAGGAGTCACGGGAACAAGTACCTAGGTACTCTGTGAACTCCTTGATCGTAACAGTTTCACTTGAAATGAATATTAGTCTCATAAATGAAAATCTAATAGTTTTGAAAGCATTCATTTGATTGGTATATAAAGATATCACATGTTGTGATCGATGCAATTGTATTCTATAAACCTGTAATTAATTAACTATCATTTCAAAAAATTCATTACCATATATAATAATCTTTATATCTCGATAGTGGTTTAGTCATTGTATAGTACATTTAATAGTTATCTCTTTATTTAAACCATACATTAAAACATGTGCACAAATATAACTTTATATTATAAATTATATTAAAAAGTTGTTTCAAAATATTTTTAACTTTGATAAATTTTAACAACTTTACAATATATAAATTATTGAATTATATAAATTAATTTATAAATAATAAATTATTATTAATAATTCAACCCAATACTAACAAATTATAAACCCAATTTAAAAATTAAAGTTAATAATTTCCACTATATAATAGATTAAGACGATATATTAATATAACATTAGTTTTATTTAATTCACCATAATGCACATACAATATTATTGAACATGGTTAAACATCAACTGTCTTAACCTTTCTCAATAGAATAAAATACGTGCCCACTTTGAGTACAACCATAATCACAATCAACATGCTCTATACATGTCGTTGTCGTGGTAATCCATTTTGGTCATTATGACAGACTGGGCCTCATCTGACACCTGACCGCTAAACAAACTCATTGTATTCATCAACGCATCGGCATTGATGTGATCGGAGGCCAGGATTGCGGTCATCTGTTCCTCTGTTATGAGTGAACCCCAATCTATGGGCGCTTTCTTCGGTCCAATCGGATCCGCGCGACATCTGTTGAAGCCATAGATGGCTGTTGTCGTGCCCTCTAATGTAAAGCGTATGAAATTACCCCACGTTGAGTGTCGGAAACCGTTGGGCATGTCTTTCACCGGGATCATAAAGCCTAGGCGTAATTAATTGATAATATTGATTAAGTATTGCATGCAATTATAGATTAGTAAAAACGGTAAGAATTATGTATTTATAAACAATACCTGAAAAGAGAAATAACGGAAAAGCGGTGACAATACCGATGAAAGCGACGGCAGTCGGAGAGTCCATGAGATATGCGCTCACTATTAGTCCCATAGATGTGAACGAGAGGGCCAGCAGTAGACATATGCCTATAAAATAATAGAAACGCCAGCGTTCGGTCTCCCAGTACTGTCCGGTGCCCACAAATGCCGGCACAATCAAAAGCAATGGTATTGTCAACTGCCAGAAAACGTCCACGAGCACTTTAGCCATATAGTACGAGTACACTGAATACCACCCGTTTCTATATTCCTATAGGAATAGTGTATTATATTAAACATGTGTATTATTCTTAAATATTCTACACTGTAGAATCTACAGCAATACTTTATACTAGGAATGCCCAGAAGACCTATGATTTAATGTAAACGTATGCAATCTAATAAATCTAAATCGTATCTGGGACACTTACTTTATACTATACTAGAAAATAGTTGACAAATTAAATAATAATTCAATTATACATGAATGCAAAAAACATAAATGTAAAATACCTTCAGAAACGTATGCATTTCTGCGGGAAATGTTAGTAACACAGCGAATATGGCGCCAAACCAGGTGAACATCACCACAAATACAAGACACGCAAAGTTTTCATTGAGTTCCTTGATGCATTAATGGTTGATGAAGTACAAGGTGTACAAGAATGAACCTTATTAAAGTATTTCAAACAAAGACTCTTCACAATTCGAGCTAGTTGAGATGGTATAATTACCATAATAAGTAGGATAACTTTATTGTAACTTATTAAAGTCATTACCATGCTAGGCTAACTTTTCAATAATGGTGTTTTAATTGAATATTAAAACTGTTTTGTAAAACAATTAATAAACATTTTATAACTATTGAATTAGCATTTTTATTTTGAAATCTAAAATAAATTACATTTTAAATATTTAGACAAAATTATATTTAATACATTTGTATTAATTTGATGTGTAAAAACAAGCATGGTTATTCTGCATACAATACTCCACATTGCCATTTATAAAACAATTGACAATAAAACACAAAATAAACATCAAAACACATTAAATACAAAAAGAAATACAGAAATGTCTTAATAAATTTCGTGCGCCTATAAGTGCCGCCATTAATCCAGCTGTACACATAATCAGGGCCATAGAATAAAATGATCATGGCAACATGAACAATAAATCCTGCGAACATAACAATCGCAAAAGTGAACAAGGTGGACCCACGGCCAACGCTTGCACACATTAAGCACGCGCGGGGTTTAGTGTCCGCCACTGCCTCCCTGTCTGACCCCCAGTACGTCAACTGATCCGATATAATACGGCTGTAATCAGTGGTCATGTTGTTTATGATGTGTAGATCTGAACATATAATACCGCAGACATACATCCACGCGGTAATAGTGATCAACCAATTGGGCGGTGGTGTAAACGCACGGCCATTGATGGCCACATATATGCCGTTTACGACACATAACAATATTATAAGAAAACACATGATGTATATCACGGTTGCAATGATTGCTTCTGTGATACACATCGAGTGTAAGGGTTGTGACCACACTTTGGCCATCATTTGTAGGCAATTGAACAAACTATTACACTTATTGTACTGACATTGTGGCCATCGATGGTAGAGACTGTACACTATATATCTGTACGACTGGTCGGTGTTTACAATCACATCAATGAGACGTCGGGTGCTGTGCGGACGCGTGCCGTTCATATTGTGAAACATTATACTTGTGAAAATGAATTAATAAAACAAAAGTAATGATTAAAACCACATTTATTTAACTCAAAATGAATATATGCCTCAAATATAAAAATAAAATGCTTTTACAGTAGATATGTGTTTATTTATTGGTAAAGTATATATAAAATAATAGCATATCTACATGTAAACTATCGATTGGCTGACATTAATCACGGATTAATTTAATAATAATCTCTTCAGTTGTTTATCTCGCGAGTGATGTTTAATATAGTATATAAATACAGTAATACAGTAAATATAGGTAAATACTGAAGGTACTATACATATTCCACAGAATAAAGTGTTTAGAGAAGTTGTTTAAAGAATATTTTAGTAATACTGTATTAATAATTAAAAGGACACATCATAATTAAAATCATTAATAATGCACATAAAATTAATAATGAGTTAATTAAACTGATAAATTAGCTTAATATAAGTTATTTAGCGACAACAGATTATTATACCCACAATACTAAGAATTGTAACCACAATTCCAGCAATAAAATATAATTTATCATTACATTCACATAAAACATGGTCCACCTGACCCATGGCATAAGCGGGCTTATATCGCATCTCGTGGTCCTCTAATAACTGTTGTGCAATAAATGAGGTCACTGTTGATGAGTTCAATGTTGAGTCATATAAATGGCGGGCTTCCCATTTCAAGCAGAACACTAGAATTTCTACACTTTTTCGCCATTCATTACTAGATTCCATGTCTTTCATGTTTAGCACACATACGGGTATAATTCGAAGATCTTGTTTAGTTTGCTTGACTGCATGGGCCAACAGATCTACTTGAATCTCATTATAGGAGTCCCTGAAAAGTATTATAACATTTTTAATAATTATACGTTTACAATGAGTTACAAATTGTAAGCAATATCAAATATTACGTTCGCACATTGAGGGAGGGGGTGGGTCGGCCAAAGCGAACTTTTGCAAACGAAGGGTATATAGAGTATATAAAAGGTATATAGACCTTAAGAACGTTCGCATTTAAATAATAACAGTTTGGTAACAAATTTTGGGTAAATATATTACTTTTAAATAGAAATAGTTTTATTTTCAGTTTTAAAATAAATATAATGCTATTGTATTTCTTAAAGATTGCCGGGAAAGCGAAATTTTGAAAACGTATTATTTTTAAAATAACTATATGGGAACAATTTCAAACATAGTGGAAGGGTCTAGATTTCATAAAATTGCGAACGTAATATGTGAACACCTCCTAACAAAACTTTAACAGAAGAATTTATAAATTAAAAAATTTAGGTGTAATCTCATAGAAACCCACGTTAAAGCGTCCCATGTTAATCCTATGAGATCCTCATGTTAAAGTATAGCCATAGAATTAACATGTGATGTTATTTCCCATAGGGCGAGGGGAGGGAGTGGTAGCCTAACGATTCTATAAACCACATTATTTAATGCTAAATTGTGGTTACAATTTTTATATGTAGTGCACGTGCTCATAAACAAAGATTATATAACAGAATGTTATGCGATAACTGAATAATATTAGTGACAAAATGCTTGATATGACATAGAGTATATGACATAGAGTACATGACATGTAACTACATTAACATATTGGTTGAAAACTTAATATATTTTATTTAAAAATTATTGTATGGCATCGCAAGCATTTTGCTATCAAAATGATGGAATTATTACATATGATATTTGTTATGTAACCTTTGTGTATAATGTATGCAGCTACGTTTAAACATGCTGTAAATAAATCTATACTAATAAATTATAAATAAATTAATAACTCACAGTTTAATGAAAATAATCAGGTATTTTACATTGATTTTTTCACATTTAATGATATCCGTTACCCCATATTTGGAGCACTGGTTTTTGTTAAGATATCGCTCCGATTCAGTGCACTCGACGGCAACCATAAACATAATTTAAACAATTAATTGAAATAATATAGACATTACTGACTATTATTTATAAATACAAATACTGGCAACAATTTAAACAAATATCAATTTAATGAACAGCTCAAACAATTGATAACAGCAATAATGATTGTTAAATGAAATACTGTAAATGAAAAATTTATTTTTTAAAAACTAGTTTTAAGCGATAAAATCTTATCATATCAAACATATGCTGCATTGATACTAAATATGATAACACTTTTCTCTTAATTAAAATTACTTTATTTTGTACACTGCATAAAAGTTTTGAATACATTAAGTATGCAGCTTATAGAAAAAATATTTAAATAACATTTACTAACTTGTAAGTTATTATTGCAAATATTGTGCTAATATTGTCACTTTTATAGAATGTCAATTATACTAACAAAAATCTAGGTTGGTATTTATAAATTATAATTAGTTGTGACATTTATAAAATTATGTATATCTCTATTAAACTTGTTATTTATATCATCGTTTAATTATTAAATATATCAATTGATAATATCGGGCGATTGTAATTTATTCATAATTTATTCAGGTGTTTGTCTCAAGACTGATGCTTTAATGCTTTGCCTCAATGCCAGTACTTTATGTGTGGAAATGTGTTCATTTGCCTGCAAATGATGGCCAAAGTGTGGTCACAACCTTTACATCCAAAGTGCATCTCAAAAGTAATCTTTGCTAGCATTCAATACATTACGGATTTCTTAATCCTATTGTTATGTGTCGTAAACGGCATATACGTAGCCATCAATGGCCGTGCGTTTACACCACCGCCCAATTGGTTGGTCACTATCACCGCATGGATGGGTGTTTGCGGTATCGCATGCATAGATTTANGAGTTTCACTTGAAATGAATATTTGTTTCATAAATGAAAATCTAATACTTTTGAAAGCATTCATTTGATTGGTATATAAAGATATCACATGTTGTGATCGATGCAATTGTATTCTATAAACCTGTAATTAATTAACTATCATTTCAACAAATTCATTACCATATATAATAATCTTTATATCTCGATAGTGTTTTAGTCATTGTATTTTTACATTTAATTGTTATCTCTTTATTTAAACCATACATTAAAACATGTGCACAAATATAACTTTATATTATAAATTATTATAAAAAGTCATTAGATTTTAACTTTGATAAAGTTTGAAAACTTAACTAACTAAGTTATTTATAAATTTATGAATTTTTAAATTAATTTATAAGTAATAAATTGTTATTAACAATACAGCCCAACACAGTATTGGCAATACTAACAAATTATAAATACAATTTAGAAATAAAAGTTAATAATTGCCACTATATAATAGATTATGACGATATATTTATAAAGTTATAACTTATAACATTAGCTTTATTTAATTCACCACATGCACACTCAATATTATTGAACATGGTTAAGCATCAACTGTCTTAACCTTTCTCAATAGAATAAAATACGTGCCCACTTTGAGCACAACCATAATCACAACTAACATGACAATTGCTCTATACATGTCATTGTCGTGATAATCCATCTTGGTCATTATGACAGACTGGGCCTCATCTGACACCTGACCGCTAAACAGACTCATTGTATTCATCAACGCATCGGCATTGATGTGATCGGAGGCCAGGATTGCGGTCATCTGTTGCTCTGTTATGAGTGAACCCCAATCTATGGGCGCTTTCTTCGGCCCAATCGGATCCGCACGACATCTGTTGAAGCCATAGATGGCTGTTGTCGTGCCCTCTAATGTAAAGCGTATGAAATTACCCCACGTTGAGTGTCGGAAACCGTTGGGCATGTCTTTCACTGGGATCATAAAGCCTAGGCGTAATTAATTGATAATATTGATTAAGTATTGCATGCAATTATATGTCAGTAAAAACAGTAAGAATTATGTATTTATAAACAATACCTGAAAAGAGAAATAACGGAAAAGCGGTGACAATACCGATGAAAGCGGCGGCAGTCGGAGAGTCCATGAGATATGCGCTCACTATTAGTCCCATAGATGTGGACGAGAGGGCCAGCAGTAGACATATGGCGATGAAATAGTGGAAACGCCAGCGCTCTGTCTCGTAGAACTGTCCGGTGCCCACAAATGCCGGTATTATCATAAGCAACGGTATTGTCAACTGCCAGAAAGTGTCCACGATCACTTTGGCCATATAGTACGAGTACACCGAATACCACCCGTTTCTATATTCCTATAGGAATTTAGTGTATATAAAACACATGTATTATTCTTAAATAGCAATACTTTATACTAGGAGTGCGCAGAAAACCTATGATTCAATGTAAACTCATGCAATCAAATAAATCTAAATTGTATCTGGGACACTCTTATTTTATACAATACTAGAGAATAGTCAACAAATTAAATAATAATTGAATTATACATAAATGCAAAAAAAACATAAATGTAAAATACCTTCAGAAACGTATGCATTTCTGCGGGAAATGTTAGTAACACAGCGAATATGGCTCCGAACCACGTGAACATCACTACGAATACAAGACACGCAAAGTTTTCATTGAGTTTGTCGGCCACGCGTTCAAACGTCTTGACAAAGTCGGCGCCGTCGACCACGAAGTTGTCCGGACAGCCCGACAGCTTCCCGCTCTCCGGCCCCCAAAACCCGACCAGTAATAAGACAGTTGCGATATTTGCCACAATTCTCAAATGCAATAGCCATATGTCCCGGTAGGACAACACAAACGATCTAGTGCATGTTTACATAATTTTGCTTAGTTATTTGTACAATATATTACTTTACTATTTGATGTAGATTAGTTTATTACTTACCTCTTGGTCAGTGTCCAGATATCACTGCAGGTGTTGTACTTGAAATGGGGCACAATTTTATGCTCGTGTGGTATCAGATCCAAGGCCTCGATCTTCATAATAGATGTCAAAAGCATAGGTTTGCCGATTCCGTGCTCTTTGGACGCGACCTCTAGTATATAATCTGAAGGGTTGTGGAATTTTGGACATTTGACGCCGTATTGGGCCATAAAGTTGACCATNACTTGAAATGGGGCACAATTTTATGCTCGTGTGGTATCAGATCCAAGGCCTCGATCTTCATAATAGATGTCAAAAGCATAGGTTTGCCGATTCCGTGCTCTTTGGACGCGACCTCTAGTATATAATCTGAAGGGTTGTGGAATTTTGGACATTTGACGCCGTATTGGGCCATAAAGTTGACCATCGATTGTGGGGTTCCCTGATATATACACTGCCCGTCGTATGACATGATATACACCGAGTGAAACAAATTGAAGAGTTTGCCACTCGGCTGATGAATAGTGGCCACCACTGCCATGGGCTGACCCTTTTCGCTCTGTTGGGTCAGATCTAGAAGTGTATTGATTAGTTGCCAAGTAGTGGATGTGTCTAACCCAGAGGTGGGCTCATCCAGTATTAGTATATTAGGTCTGGAGACCAACTCCAGAGCGATTGACACGCGTTTCCGTTGACCACCAGAGCATCGCTTAGCCCTCACATCAGCGCACGACTCGATGTCCAGCCTTTTGAGGATTGCATTGACATTCAGTTTGTGATCTGTTTTGTCTAAACTCTTGAGACGGGAGGCATAGTTCAGGGCCTCTCTCACTGACAGTCGTGGATCCAAACGGTCTTCCTGTCCGATCACCGATATCTTCAGCTATGGATCAGTTTATTACATACTTATTAAATTTAAATATTATGTTATCATAATAAATGCAAAAAATTTATTTTATATTCAGGTTATGTAAAGCTTTATATCTAGCTTAGAAAAACAGTATGTAAGACAAGTGATATTTTGATTAATTTGTAAATTAAAATAAATTACCCCGAGATAATAATTTGATTAATGATCTAGTGCACAAGTGGGTATGGTTTGTTTATACATGTATAGAAGTGAGACCTACCTTTTTCTTCGTGGTAATACTGATAGATCCGAAGACTCCCTTCTTCTTGATTCCGGCCAAACAGTTAAGTAGTGAAGACTTCCCACAACCGGATGGCCCGAGAATTGCGGTGATTTGTCCGCTCCTGAAGTAACCGCTGATCCCATTAATGATTGTCTTCTCACGGATTATATGATGGCTTACTCTATACGACAGGTCTTTCCAAACCACAGCAAACGACTGGTCGCTAACATTAA